TGAAACAGTGATTAAGTGTGTAGATTAGCCATAACGTTATAATTACCTGTAGTTGTGAGCTGTAACGTGCAATAAATTCAGTTACCGATCCAAACCCCATGTTAAATCCTTAACAAGTGGTAGTACATATAACGAATTCTATCTCTTCTATCTATCTATCTATGACTCTATATCCCTTTGTTTGAGCTTGACCGCTTTTCAATTTCCTGATCTTTTACACAGTCGGTAGGACTCCTTGGGCGGGGGATCAGTCCCTCACAAGGCCGCTATCTGCATACAGGACAACATAAACTCAGAATAAATGCACATAGATATCATGCCTCAAGTGGGATTCGAACCCACGATCCCAGTGTTTGAGCGGGCGAAGGCAGTTCATGCTTTAGATCGCGCGGCCACAGTGATCGGCCGTATAACGAATTAGTATAGAGAAATTTGAGAAATATTGGAAGTTATTTACAATCAGCGAAGCTCAAATGGGGAAATGAGGGAGGAATGGTGAAATATAGCCCGTAGAAAAAAATATAAAAGAGCTCTTGATATGAAAGGGTTTATATACCGTAAACACCAGGTGTTAAGCGGTGTAATATCTAGGTCAAGTACGTTACACGATGTAAACAGTAAATTCTATTGTGTTCCATTTTTCAGCTGGAACACATCTGGGCGTTATTCTTAACAGAAATGTCGTCTTCATTCCTATTTTTATCACAAAAAATTATTTCCTTCATTGACACTGAAGAAAAAATCCTTAAGTAAAGAAATTTAATTTAAAATTTGGGGATTCCTCATGGAAAAAAAGGGATTCCTCGGAACAGAGTTTGAAAATTATTTCTGAACGTAATATTACGAGCATCGATAACTCAGTCGATAAAGCGAAACGCCACCTGTTGAAAGACAAAGTTTCATTCCCAACAGAGGCAGGAATTTCTTGTCTGCTTTTGCGCCACGGCAGGCTTAATCCTATTAGTGTGCTATCCAATTTGTACCACGTATTGTTTTCCGTCGGTAATGCGACCGAAGCCCGAAACCGAACACCCTACGAAGCTACTCGTACTCTCTCCCAAACCAAGACTTCTGGCATGATGATTCAAAGTCATTTTTTTTTAAACTGAACCCTTGAGGCCATAGCCCTTATATAACATTCCCTCTGACTAGAGGATGGATTTCTCTCTTATATGCTTGGCCTTTTGACAAGTCTAGGTATGACACATATAACACGTTATTGGAAATTCTTCCTTTTCCACTATACACAAGTTCTTTTTCAGTCCAGGCTTTGCAAAACAGATCATGGTTATCTTTGGTATCTTATGCTACAACGGCAGCTTAGTCACTTGAACGGTCGTAAGCTTACCTTCCCAGAATTTAAATCTCTTATACGTGTATTTTCTATGTTTGGCTTCGCCATGTCCTATACTGCAAACATGTTCATTCTTTTGATTTTGCATGTCTTTTGCTTGTTGCCTGCAGAATTTTGTTGTATAATCGTATCCATAGTGTAGATTGAAAGCCGTGTGCAAATTGCGGGCTGGGGTGTACTTTGGGCAATTTCCAGTGCTGCAGAGAACCTTAATGTTACACACTGTTTACATATATAAAATACATATAATGCTCTGTGCCTGTAAAGAGATTGTCAGGATCTCAGATTAGGATCATTAATGAATGATGAACTGGAAGCGATGTGGAAGGAAGGGGCTGTCATGATGAACTGGAAGCGATGTGGAAGGAAGGGGTTGTGGCCTATTTCGGGGAACTGCGTAAAACCTTCAAATCTGTCAGAATAGTCGTGATATCGGCCGAGATTCTAACCTGTTACTTCTCAATTACACAGAAGATTTACTGCGTGACGTAGCGCTCTGTATACATGTATTATATGTATCCTAAACTGTCTTCTGTAAGTACGATATATCAGACAGAGGAACATTAAAATGGACGTATGAATTTCAGCCTATATTCTGGTTTCATCACGAGATTTAAATGAAACCTGGGTTCTAACCCCTTATGAATGACATATGACATTTCCTATAAAATAAAGGAAACCTGTTAGTTTCTACACTAACGGGAAATTAATTGGAACATGTGCAAATTGCACTAAATTCGAAAATAAATTGCATTGATATTTAAAAGAGCAGAACAGAAACCCTGTGTTGATGAAACGTACTTTTGTTATATGAGTACAGTCAGTTGTTTTTGTGAGACTGTACCGAGACTCGCTAAGTCAGGTATTCCTCGCTTCAAGTGCCGCCCATTCATGAAGCATAATTTCGCTTCAGGTTACGCGCCTAGAAAACTAGATGCACAATGCTAATTTTCTACTACTGTTCAGATTTTAAATAAATTTATTATGCTTTTATATGTTACGTTAAGAGATATTACGGAAATTTAATTTTGGTTCCTGTAAATCTTCTAGTGTCCTTGCATGACGTTAATGTCGTAAAGTGTTAGTTATTCGAAAGTGACATTTATTTGTTTATTTACTCTAAGTAAGTAAAGCTATCCCTGTAACAGGCAGTGGAGGCCCATAGGGTTGTGAGATGTTGAGGTTCCCACATTTTCTAGACAATCGGCTCATAGATGGCGGCAAGATTCTCAGCCCTACGCGCCGGCCGCCCTTTAACCCCAAGAATATTCTCGGTACTCATTTCTGTTAGAGGCTGAGTCGACCTCAGGGCCATAGTTCGGCTTAAAAGATTAGGTCAATTGAACAAAAATTCAGTGACCACATCGGGACTTGAACCCGCGATCTACCTGCTTGTAGCATAGTGCCTCAACCAACTAGGCTACCGCGTGTCCCTTTGTTTATTTAATTAAGTAAACCGTAAAAACACGATATAATAAAGCCTAAGAAATGTATACAATTGACGCATGGACACAAACACAAAAACACCCGACACCGCAGACAAATGTCATTGCAAAAGTCAAGTTGCGAAATTAGGTCACTGTTAAAATGAAACGATGGTGTTTTCGCGAACACAGCAAATGATCCCAGACACGAAGAGCACGGAACAATAGGACGAGAGCCAGAACCATTGGGTCACTGACTACAGCGTTGCGTTACACGTGGCCGCAGAGGGGAGACTCAGTTGCTTCACACGTTCTTGAGGCGATTCAAACTAATCCCGCGTGTCCGAACAATTTAGAACTAAAGAAGGGGCAGAGAGGGCTCTTTTCTGCGGTAGTGGCAAGTGAACGGGGAAGCTAAAAGAAAGGAAGAAAAACAGAGGGAAAAAATGAGAGAAGAAGGCTTGATGCATTTCCCTTAACTTTGCTGTTTCCTGCATTTCGCTTAGTGTGTTTGCCTTTCCTTGTTGTTTATCTGTGTTTATTTGGGCTTGAAACTTCCTACGTCTAACCCCTTAGAGTACAGAGATCTAAGACTTGGATAGAAGAAAAAAGAAATGAACGAAAAAATATGCAGACATAAGAAAGCACTTTATGTTAAAAATAGGGGTTATCCTTGAAATTCTGACAGTCGCTGAACTAGTCAATATATTCCAAGACATCTATAGGGTCTGAATGTCTATTGCCATGTGCACAATAGCCTGCTACCGAACACTGCAGCCAGGCTTGAGAATCTCACCCACGCTTTCTGGAAAATTATAGCGTTATGACTAATCTACCCACTTCACAAATCGCTAGGACTGGGCTGCAGTCGCTCCATTCTCTTTCTCGTTCTACGGTTCAATGTTCAGAGTCAGAGTCAGAGTCATTTAACGACTGCTGGTTTACCGCCAATCAGTTCGTCTTGGCGCCAAGCCCCTTAAGACTCAAGCCCAGTTTCTTTTTACTTGAACGCTTGCGGTAATAGTCTTTGTGTAACATCCTCTCTGACGAGAGGATGGGTCTGTCGTTTACAATCGTTGCTGGGCCTCGCCAGTTCATTCATTCTCAGGTCCGAGTCCAGGATTCATGGCCATATTTTACTGTCTCAGATTCGAGTCTCCCCCAACCTGGAGGCCAGGTCCCCATGTTTATATCCCCCAGGAACGGGGTGGTCCAGTTGTACCGCCAGGAACTGGGTTCCCTTTTCAGTTGCTTTCACGACTCTTATACGTATAAGATGATAAATCTTAACAAATTTTAATATAGTACATGAAGAATATACATTTTAAATCATTTTATAGACGACACATGACGGCGAGCAGTGCAACAGTTTAACGTAAATAACACACCCGAGGATGGCACAGTGATGACGAAACATGTAGTGAAGTGACATGTGAGATTCTGTGCACTACAAGACGGTCAATACATACATATCATGGACGAGAAATCAATGAGGATGGGATGATCCAGGTATGTAGCATGAATTGGGAGAAGAGGAATACATATAGGATTTTCGTGGGAAAGCCTGAGGTGGGTGGGTAATATTAAAATGGATCTTAGATGAATAGGATGGAGTGATATGGACTAGAATGACGTAAACGATGAGGACCGGTAGAGGGCTCTTGTGAACACTACAATGAACGTTCGGGTTCCACAAATTTTTTGAAATTTCAGGAGTAGCTGAGCGAGTGGCGGCCTCTCAAGAGACACTCAGTTCCATGAAACTGGTTACTTCCTTGGTCAGAACACGATACTTCTGTATGGGGCATTACAAGTGTGTAGTTGTGCTTCTTTCATCAGGTTTCATGGGAACCGATGAATAAGACGAACAGTCGCTGATGGACCTCCACGGATCCGAAATGACAATTTTCTACATACAAGTCACAGCTACGTTAAGTGCATCATGGGACGAATTTTGCGTGTCACTCTCAATTATATAGACGTGTAGGTTCAACATGTGCAGTTCCGTGAAATGTTATTTCATTTCATGCAACGACACCCTGAACTGCTCTAGCAATTACATGCATAATGAAGCATCTATGGAGTAAAAAATATAATATACGTATATCTAATTTCTTGATTAATTTATTGTGTCGTACCTCGAAATAAGCTATGACATGTAATCGAGTGTATTTTCTGTTTATGTAAGTCGTTGATGCTAATTCACAATATTTCATACTTACCGCTGTCATCAACGGCCACATAACAATAGTCCTTTCCGGTGGGGCGCTGTTGCTCTGCTGATGCACACTTCTAGACCTCTGCGGCAGGAAGTGCGGAGAGGAAGGAGACCTGTAGAGTCAGACAGTGGCTCTGTTGATGCTCGTAGTACTCAGTCACAAAGCAGTTCGCCTTTCGGCCGTGGACAGTGATAAGTCGGTTGACTTGTATTGGTCAACGCATTTTGTAGAGACAGAGATAAAATACGTGTCATTATGGGATACTATACAACGTAACTTAGAGCTTGGCATCGTGTAAGTCAATACGGACGGCTCGGAATTCCTGTTTAGTCTACAAAATAATAGGTGAAAATACTATATGAGGGAGAGTCAGTAAATAATCACAAATGGATATAAAACGTAGAACATGTGATATTCGAACCTGGAAAAACTTTTTATTTCTCAACATATCCTCCAACATTGATACACTTGTCCCATCGCTATACCAGTGTGGAACCCGCAGCATGGAAGCCTTTTTTACTATTTCTGTGCCACATTGTTTCAGTCGCAATCTCAACAATGCGACATGGTCGGGCACCGTCTCCGACTTTCGAACGCCCTTGACATAATTTCTCGACCCCATCTGTGAATTGCTTTATGCGACAAACACTTCCCACAGTAAACTTGAAACATTGCTCTATGAACACCCTTTGCATTGAGTCCTTTTGCGCACAAAAGAAGTACAACAGAACTCTACACTTCGGTAGTACAGCCCTCAAGCACGGTCGCCATTTTGGCTAGTGAAAGCAGTCTCTGAACATGCGCATGTGTGTCTGCTCCCTAGACTGTCACGAAGGTGGACTGCGCTACTACCTGGTGGTACACGCAGAAAACCTATTACATCCACTACAGTACTTTTACTTCATTTGTTGCCTATTTACTGATCCCCTCGTGGACATTTTATATTTTACTTGAATAATACTCACTGCACGACAACGTGGACACTTCAGTATCCATGTCGGAAGCAGAAATACTTTCTATAAATTGTATCTGAACTGAGGGAGGAAAAGTGGAAGAATGGAGCCCCCGTGGGGAAATTCGTATCCTCCTGCCGTCTTTCTTTCCAGTATTTTAAATGGCGTCGTCAAAGGATGACATATAGCTCTCATTAAGAACTGGTTTATTATAACATGGCTCCGTAACCTACAGGTTATTGGTCGTCTAAGCAACGTTCATTTCACAACTGTCCGCTATAATATTCTGACCTGGGCTCACTTCGGATATGCTTTTTTTTTTTTTGGGTGTGATTTATGGCCCACAGAAGTCTTCTGGCACCAGAATCCAAAGGAAAGTTCAAAATTTGCCTCTTATATATTTCCCAGCTCAAACGTAATAATTTAACAATTGCAATTATTTCGGTAACCCCAAACCGAGGTTCCTAACAATAAAGCATAATTCTACTACTATATTTACATAAATTAAACCCACTTAAGTAAAATAAAACTTAAATATTAAAAGTTCAACTAGTTTTTATTTCTAGGAAGTTATATAAATAGATGGTTGAGACACTATGCTACAACCCGGAAGGTCGCGGTGTCCATTGCCTATGAGGTCATTGGATTTTTCAATTGACCTAACACTTCCAGCCACAATTGGCGCTGGGGTCGTGTCAAACTTAATTAATTCCGGGAATCTTCATGGGGGTAAAGGGAGCCCGGCGAGTAAGGCTGACAATTCACCGCCACCTGTGTAGAAAATGTGGGAGCCTCGACGTCTCACAGACCTATGGGCCTCCGAGGTCTGTTACAGGGATAGCTTTACTTTTACGCTTACTTCAGTTAGGTGTACCAAAATGTGTCCATGTTAAAGAAACCACTTTCAAACATGACAAAAAATGGGATAACATAAGATGGAACACAGAGGATATCTGATATTCTCACAGCGGCCACAAGAGAGTTCTCGGATATGTGGATCCGGATTTCTGATGTTTCGGTGGAATTTAATGCCTTCTTCAGGGCGTGGAAGAATAAGGAAAGCAAGCAGCAATAGGAGTAACTCTGGTTACTGCTTACTTGTCCGCCCTTGGACCCCGAAGTTGGGGCCAGTAAATTCCTCCAAAGGGTCAGTAAACCCTATGAGACAAGACGGCGAAACAGCCTAGTCTATGGCACTTTTCAAGATGGTGTATTGGAAGATGATGGCAAGTTGATGATGTCGAACTTTCGGTTCTGCTAACACAGGGTTAGTTATAATAAAAATGGAGTCCACAACGAATTATGCAGGAATCCTTATCGCGGCAACTGGAGGCTGAGAATACGAAGAATCAGTTAAGAACACACACTAATGGCTTTCTTAACTACACAATCATAAGTTTTTTCTTTCTCGAGGAAAGCAATAAAATGAATTAGGTAGAAACAAGAAAGTAGTCGGAAAGAATTCCCGTTGGGAATCATTAAAGAGTAATGGAGTGAGAGGCTGAAAGGATGGAAGAATTCAAGAGCTTTAACAGGAGGACAACGTTTCGTGGTTGAAAAAGCTCGGGTATTTGTTATTCTTGCTTGCTCGTCTAATTCTCTTTTTATATTCCACGTTACTTCCGCAAGGACTGGGCAGACAGGCGGCATGTATGAGGTTAGGGAACCGCAAGAAATTAAATTTCGCCAGACAGTAACTCTCTACACAGTATTGCCAACGTAATTGTGGGGATATTTTATGGCGCTACCGGAGTGTAGTATACGTAGTGTCACGTGTATGGGTGACTATAAACTGGATTAGATTGGTAAATGGATTTATTGTACGCCGATACACACGACTTGTAACTGCAAATAACTATAGTACTGTCGCTAATTCACACACTATATATTTCACTACATTGCGCACTAAGTCTGCTGTGTCTTCACCAGTCGTTGCCTGTTAACGGCTTCTAAAGGCCAACTTTCCCCTTACTTTGGGTTCTCTAACTATCCCCGTGCATCAGCTACCAGCATCTAAGAGCAACAGCTCACAACAACTGAACCGTAGCAGTTCAAACTCACTAACCAACTCATTTCATTTCACTCCACTTCACTAACTGTACACTTATAACATCTCGGCACGGACCGCAGAGGAAACCCCGTTCCAGCAGTTCTATTTTTGCGTCATGCAGCTGTAGCACGGACCGCTACAGTATCATCGAACAGTAGTTTGATTGATGAATGGTTGATTGGAAAATATATGGAATAAAATAGTCATGACTGACTCGAGGTAAAGTACTACAATGTGCACAGAGGCACTGAGGAGAACCATGAAAAACTTCAATCAGAATACTCGGTGCCCGTCCGAGATTTGAACAGGTGTCTCCACAATGCTCTACAAGTCTACAGCATTACTTTTCAGCTTAAGGAGTTTAGCTTTGTCAGTTAACTACGATATTTACAAGACGTTGTATCCCATAATATAGTGTTCTTCACAAGGACCGCTGTGAGAACCTCAGAAATAAACAAATAAATTCGTTAAACTGATAAAGTACGTTCAAGCTGTTGTTAAGTAAGAGAAGAACACAATGACTGGCTTAGTTTCCACTGTTGGTTACGTAGAATAACTTATCCACTCTTGGAGCGTGGGCCGTATATCAATATATGATGGTGATGTGTGTGAGCCACTGAAGCACGTGGCAGTGTTTGGGAAATGCCGTGGGTACACTTGCACTTCTACCGTTTATTTGTGTAAGAACAATAGCTTATTGCAAGGTCTATTCGGAGAGTAATTTCCGATGAACTGTTAACAAAGCAAGCAATGGGAGAAAACAGTTTATTATATACAAACAATACGTATATACTTACTCGTAAACTAATTCACAATGTAGTTCCCGCCGGAATTGAGGCATTTGTCGTGTCAGGGAATAAGTTCTTGTAAGCCTGTGTCAACGAAGTCTGCCGCCTTTGAGCTTAGGCACGTTTTCACATCTTTCATCAACTCCTAATTACTTTTGAAGCGCAGTGATTTCGGCTAGGCAAAAGTTGGCAGTCGCTCGGATTGAGCTCAATAGTGGGAGGGTGGTCAAACAACTCCCAGTTGAAATGCTCCTGCAATGCTCGATTGTGAGCGGATATATACGCATTGTCACAGAGGAGCAGTACACCGGATATCAGAACTTCACTACTTTTGGTCTGAATGGCCGGTGTTGTAACTGTCCAGTTTATGGGAAGGTCAATTGATGTTTGTGTATGGTTAGGGTTTTGTGAAATTCCTCACTTTCGCCTCACAATTTGGAATTTTCCCCCTTGAGACATGCAGCAAGTGGCTTGGGTCAAGCTTGAAGCCAGCTGCCCTTTCGTAAATCAGTTAATTTAATGCCTAACAAGGCCGAGTTCTTTAGAAATTCTAAACTTGACAGGGGGAGTCATAAATTTAGCAGCGTCGTTTCCTGCTAACCCAAAATCTCAGTTTGACAGCCACGCAGCAGGTGGCAAAGTTCACCCCTAAACTGTACACTAGTGGATATTCGCTTTCCTAATTGGAGGAGAATGATAAGCAATCTCCCAGTCTGCCCGGTCCAGCCAATCATCGTCCGAAGTGGGAGGTCCTTTGCCCGAATTTTGGGTAACTAGGGCAAATATTTACCATTCAGAGGGTGCTTGGCAAGGAAGACTTTGAAAGTTACGTTCACCGGGGGTACACGTGTTCGGATCCCCGTAAACACGCCCTGTGGTAACTATCAAATGTGCGTCCCCCAGAACAGTAAGTAAGCCTACATCCACGAATCTGTGAAGTGTACCCCTACGGTGCTGTTCTATTTAATTAGTGCAAATTTAATAAAAACTCCATACTGTTAATTGGTGTTGTGGTGATTTCCCTACGCCTAAAGCCCCACTAATCACCCAAGTCGTGGCCAATCAACACGCCCTGAAAGGAATCGAATTGCTCTACCGGAGCTAGCAGAACCGAAGAAAAACGGTTACAGTCTTTCACAGTTTTTAGTAGTATTTCGCAGTACTCTTATGACGTTATTGTGGTCCCTTGTTGCATGAATTCCACTATCAGCAGTTGCGCGCGTGCGGTGTATTCAGAAAGAAAAACACTGTAGTGTATGGCAGCTGTCTGCGAGCGGCGGAAATCGAGAATATCGCAGTTTGGGCAACATAAAGACGTTAA